TGTGTGTGTGTGTGTGTGTGTGTGTGTGTGTGTGTGTGTGGTGAGGAACGGCTGGCAAGGGCAGATCGCAGCAGAGACTGTTGTGTGTTTTTTTTTTTTTTTTTTTTTTTGTTGTTTGACAGCGTGTGTCTACATTATGAGAATACATCCATCTCTCAGAACTTGTACACTTTCCTTCGTGCGTGTTACTATGGCTTTCTTTTCTCTTGCCCCATGAGGACTGAACTTGGGGCCTTGTGTCTGTTGAGCAAGTTCTGCACCATGGGGTAGCATGTCGGGCGTGTAAGCATGGTTCTCCAAAGGAAAGGCAACAGCCGCTTGTTTATTGAAGACTCTGAGCATTGGTGGTGTGAACCGCTCTCTGCTAGCCATGTTGAACATAGCTTTGGTGCAATGCCGGGTGAACATAACCCGAGTTACAGCCTGCATGACCTTTTAAGAGAAGGTTTAGCTCTGTATCCCAGGCTGCCTCAGCCTCCTGAGTGCTGGGATGACCACACCTAGCTTCTTCCCTATATATCCGCTCCCAAACAGTCTGGACTAGGCCCCTGTAGCCTGTTTTAAACTTCCAGATGAAATATTTCCATGCACACCAAACTCCTTGTCCTTTCTAAAAAAAATGTAGTCTCCTCTCGTGTATTACATCCCAACGGCAGTTTCTCCTCCCTGCACTAATCCTAGCTCCCCGCCCCCTCCAGATCCACTCCTCCTCCATTTGCCTTCAGAAAAGAGCAGGCCCCCACTGATATCATCAGGACACAAAGATACAATTAAGAGTAGGCATAATACCTCCATATCAAGGCTGGACAAGGCTGCCTGGTAGGAAGAAAAAGATCCCAGTAGTCAGGTAAGAGAGCCAGAGACAGTCTCGCTCCTACTCTTGGGAGACCCATAAGAACACCAAGCTACACGACTGTAACATTTATGCAGAGGACCTTGTGCAGGCCCATGCAGGCTCTGTGGCTGCCTCGTCAATCTCTGTGAGCCCCTATGAGCCTGCTTAATTGATTCTGTGGGCTGTATTCTACTGCTGCCCTCCACACGTCTGACTCCTACAATCCCTCCTTCTCCTCTTTCATGGGGTTCCCTGAGCTCTGAGGGGCTGGACCCAGTGCAGATCTCCTCCTTGGGTTCTCTCTCCATCTCATGTCTGGCTGTGGGTCTCTGCGTCTGCTCCGTCAGCTGCTGGCAGAAGCCTCTCTGATGAAGATTGTGGAAAATCAGATTTTCATCGGGCAAGTTGGAAATCTGCCAGCCAGATTCCACCACAGCCTTTGCACACCTGGTCGGCAGAATTTAAAAGGGGGCATTGCCACTCATTCCCGTTGGCACTTAGTATGCGTGACACTAAGATCTAGTGTCTTTCTGAGGCATCTTTTCCAGGTGTGACAGCCATTAAGAGTAAATTCAAAAACTCTGAATTTGGAATGAAACCATCAGTTACGGTGTCATCACGATTAAATCCCATTGGAGAAAACTAGGAAGGCTTGTTCAGAAACACACTGTTGGCAGTACAATAATTTTTTATGATGTGTGAACTCTTTTAAAAATAATTTTTATTCGCTCTTTGAAAACTTCATAAATCTAGACATTATATTTTGTTTACATCCACCCCTTAGCCCCCCTCTTCAACTCCTCCTGGATTCCCCGGAACATGTCATGTCATCTCTCCAACTTGGTCATGTGTATATGATGTGGGACCATCTACGGGAGCATGCACCAGAGTTTCCTGGACACAGCAGGGACATTGCACGCATGAACTCATTTTAGCAGCTGTGGTCACCTGCAGTAAAATAATTTTCATTGTTATCATTTGGCAGATGGGAAGCAAAAGAGGTTGTCAGAGACGGTTCTGTAAAGTTACAGTAATTAAAGTTGTCCAATTCATCTTGGTTTTACCTTTTAAAAAGTTGTTGCTTGGGCTGGAGAGATGGCTCAGAGGTTAAGAGCATTGGCTG